AGACATATCAAGGCAAACCGAATAAGATGGGCAGGTCACGGGATACGATCAGAGGATGACAGAGTGTTAAAGACAGTGTTTTTTGAAAGACCAGATGGTAGAAGATCAGTAGGCTGACCGAGGAAGGATGATGTCGAAGGATGATGTTGAAGCCGATTTATCTAGAATTGGGGTACAACAATGGGAAATAGAAGCGCAAGATCGTAGAGGATGGAGGGTGATAGTGGATGCCGCGAAGACTCACCCCGAGTTGTAAAGCCAGTGAAGAAGAAGAAGATACATTTTGATTTAAAGGACTGAAATTTTTAGTTTGGTTCTGGAAACATTTTCTTGGGGCATTTTTAAATTAACTACTAGATTTTTTGAAAACCAAGCACAATTATATTATAGTTAAAATATTTTGTTTTGTTTATTTTTTTATATTCTTATATTTTATTTATTTTATTTTATGCTTATAGTTTCAACAGAATTTCACCCCGATCGTTTATCAACTCTTCATCGAATTTTTCGTTTACTCCATCCACGAGTTCATTTCCTATTCTCGTTCTCAGATCTCCCATAATAGTTATTATGTCTGAATAATGTGGAAGGAAAAGTATCTACCCACAACCCTTTAAATTTATTAAGTCTTAAATGATGTTATTGTTCTGCGATCAGAAAGTTTACAATTTATACTCATCATATATCATTATATACATTATCAGGCCTATGAAACTAAGAAAGGATTCATCATCACCATCAATCAGCCAATCGCGTCCACTGCTGGACATAGGCCTTCCTCAGTTCTTTCCAGTGTTTTCTACACTGGGCCGCTTGTAGCCAGTTTCCCGCTACACGTTTTATATCATCGGTCCATCTAGTTGGTGGTCGTCCTCGGCTTCTTTTATAGTTTCTGGGCCTCCATTCCATAATACGTCTTGTCCACCGTCCATCTTGTGTTCTGGCTAAGTGCCCTGCCCAGTTCCACTTAAGCGTCGTGGTTCTTTCGATGACGTCTTGAACTCCGGATCTTTGCCTGATTTGTTGGTTTGTTATGTGGTCTCGAAGGCTCACGTTCAGCATTGCACGTTTCATGGCTGGTTGTGTAACTATGAGTTTATTCGCAGATTTTTGCGTGAGTGTTAAAGTCTCTGCTCCATAAGTTTGTACAGGCAAAACACATTGGTTATAAACCTTTCGCTTAAGACACATGGGAATTGAACTTTTTAGAATATGGCTTAATTTGCCAAATGCTGCCCATGTTAGGCCTATTCGCCTCTATATTTCATGTGTTTGATTGTCTCTGCTTATTTTGATTTCGTGTCCCAGATATTTGTAAGTGTCTGTTTTTTGTATGGTATTCTTGTCAATAGTTATATTTCCACTCATTACGAGATTTGTTATAAGAGAGGATTACAGTATAAAAAACAATCTATAGTTGTTGCAGTTACTTTAGTCACTATAAAATCCATCATCAACCAGTTATCTATTTTTAAAAAAAGACCGACACTCTTCTAAATATGCCTGTTTTCCAATGTTGGCGGCCACATTAACCGATCTTATTCTATTCACAGCAGCTCGAAATTGATCAGTTGACGTTAGACCAGTCCACTTTCTAAGATTGGGCACCCAGGATATACGTCTACGTCCAGGAAAATTACTACGTCATACATAGAACAATTATTAGCATCTGACGGGGCTGATGATCACCTATATGAAGAAAGAGAAACATGACCTTCAATCCTTAAATCGGAGATAGAAGATGCCATTGCAGCACTAAAAAACAATAAGTCAGCAGGTCCGGACAATGTACCCTGCGAAATATTAAAGATCTTATGTAAATCAGACAAACAGTTCTTGATAATCTAGTTGTACTCCAAGGTCGCATGATCGTTGAATGCAAGCATCGACAGGCGGTCAAAACTAGATCTTCGGAGAAACTGTTTACACCGTCATAGTTCACGCGTACGTATATTAGTTTGTATTAATTATTGTGTAAGTTATTTTAACGATTTTAATAATTTTGTGTTACATTTATTAACTGTGGTTGTAAACACTCTTTCACCTCCAAGAAAAATATCAAAAACAAGACATTTAACTGTTTAGGAAAAATATGTAATAATGAACACTTATAAAAATGGATCAAAAAAGTTTGGACTGATATGTCAATTACCAGTGCTCGACAAGCGCATGTGGAAGGCCTATCTACAGGACTGAAACATCCTTCTGAAAAAGGAAAAAGACTCATTGTCTTACATATCGGCTCTAAAGAAGGGTTGGTCGAAAATGGATTGCTCTTGTTCGAGTCCAAGAAAAATGGTGACTACCACGAAGATATGAATTCAGATGTTTTCGACGAGTGGTTAAAAAGAATTTTACCAACTTTACCTGAAAATGCAGTTATTGTTTTAGATAATGCATCATAGCACAGTAAAAAATATGAAAAATTGCCAACCAGTGCCATGCGAAAGGCTGATATTCAAACTTGGTTAAGACAAAAAAGTATTCCATTCGCTGATGATATGGTCAAGGCAGAACTATTAACTTTGGTAAAAAATAATCCTATTGAGCAAAAATATGTGGTAGACGAAATGGTTAAACTCACAGGTAGATGTGTGCTGAGGTTGCCACTGCGCCATTCTGAGTTAAATCCCATCGAACTAATTTGGGCGCAAGTAAAGGGCGAAGTTGCGAGGAAAAATAGTACATTTAAATTATGCGACGTAAAAATATTCTTCAACCAAGTCTTAAATAATGTTACAGCTAATAATTGGCAAAACGCTTTAAATTTAATGTAAATCAATAACTTGCAAAAAACGGTATAAATATATTATAGCGAGAGTATTAGTTCGTTTTTGTTGAGAGGTGTAAACGTGGGAAAAGTGATAACTTAGGGAGAGGAATATTTAAGAGTGAGTGCCATTCATGTGATCATTCCATCTTTTCAGCGGCTCAACTATAGAGAAGCAGTTTTCGCTCTCTAGGTGCTTATACAGCGGTGTAGAGACGTTGATAAATGCGTGCATTTGTGCTTTGTAGATTTTAGAAAAGCATTTGACAATGTCAATCATGAACAATTGATAGATATTCTGCGAAAGGCAGATATTGACGACAAGGACATTCGAATTGTGGCAAACCTATACTGGGGTCAAACATCAAGAGCAAAAATTGGCAACGAACACTGGAAGTGTGCAGATCAAAAGAAGTGTCCGTCAAGGGTGCATCTTATCCCCACTCCTATTCAATATTTATTCCGAGGAAATATTTAAAAAATGTATGGAAAATGAAAATGAGAGCAAATTATTTGTTTTTAACTTGTTACCACCTCAGCTAAAAATCAAATAGACCATAAACGTGCTGTACAGATAAGCACCGCCTATCCTTTGAGGAGAAATGATGCACTCGTAAAGGGGCACAGCGTTTATACTATCTGTCTGTCTACTGAAATGCGTTATTTATTTAGCTCACGCTGTTGTCACATATTCATTTCTCAATTCAGTGTTGTTTGTTAATTAATCAAGTAATGATATAATCGTTTAAAAATGACAGTTACATGATTACTTCATGTAAGTTTTGTTGGGGCAATAATAATTTTCATTCTACAATAAACTAGTGGTTTTAAATATTGTTACACTCATGTATCCGATTAATATTTTAGAAGGAATGATGTAACAGAAATTTTGCAACACTGTTTAAAAATTAAACACGCTACTCAACATGCGTGGATTGTGTCCCACTTGTATTCAAACAATTAATTGTTATCGTTGTTCCACATACTGAATTACGTATATTGTAGTTGAAAAATTGCCATATCGGTATATGTAGCATTTTTAATTTACTTTTAGCCTTACTTTACGATGAAACTAGTTGCTAATTAATATTCAAATTTAAAAATTTATTTATAAACAATTTGGATTGAATTTACCGAAAGTACAAGCTGATTATAGCTGCAAATGTCAAACATGGAACAAAAATTTCGATTTAACAGTTTTGGCATGTTTTTATAATGTATATGTTGTATGCTTCAAATATATGAGATAAAGCTTTAGAAAAGTACATTTTGATTATATTATGTTATGAATTCTGTAATTTTTGATTTATATAAAACAAAAATGAGTAAATATTTGTTTCTTTGGAGATTAATTGCAGTTAATTATTAGAAACTTTTTTGTCAATTGCCCTTTGATAGATTTGGCAATCGTCATATTAGTAGTTGCCAAATTTATGCAATTAATCTCGAAAGAGACAAATATTTACTTGTTATTGTTTCATATAATTTAAAAATTGCAGAATTCATAAAATAGTATAATCAAAATGTACTTTTTAAAAGCTTTCTCTCTTTATATTTGAAACATACAACATATGCATTATAAAAACATCCCAACACTGTCAAACCGAAATATTTTATTTCATGGTTAACATTTGCGACTATATTCAGCTTGTACTTTCGGTAAACTCAACCAAAATTGTTATAAAAGTTGGTACCACTTTTTGAAATGGGGAACCTACATTTTCGTATTAAGTGAAAAATTTTAGATGAGATAGAATAGTTTTCAGCTATCCACCTTTCCATGTATACAGAAAGGCGCTGCCGGATTATACTGTAATCGTAATTATTATAGTAGTAATATAGATAGTAATATATTGATATTCCAACTTCTCTTTTTGTTGTAGTGGTTAATGTCTGTGAATGCCCGAAGATTTTTCACAGAAGTCGTAGGCAACTGTCCAAACTGCGAGAAGAATATTTCCTGTCCAATCCCAAATTGACCTGCTGTTAGTAGTTATGGAACTCCTGTTCGTTTATGGATCATGAAACTAATTTTTGTTAAAATTTTTTAGCTTGTTGATGTTGGATGTAGTTATGTAGCAAATAAACGAATAGTTTTTTTACCGATTATTTTCGTTATTTTCTCCACTTTTATAAAGCGATGTTTTGCATCTTAAAGATCTCCATATTGAGAACTTTTATCTCAAGATATTTGGGACGTGATCAACGGTAAATAAATAAAACGAATAAATAAAATTTTCTTGAATACATTTTTATTACTTAATATGTCTAAAAATCAAACTAAAATAAATATAAAAGCAAGTAAAATCATCTGTTAATTATTCATAGTCATACTATTCCATTAATATTTCTTCAATGGTCTTGTCGTCCCTCAATGGGCTCGGTGCCAAACTGGGATCGCTCTCTAGAAACTGTCTCAGTTCCGACTCCAGGTCGATATTAGCCACTTCCGGCGCTGGGGGATTGGTAACTTCAGGAAGGGGTACACCTAAAACATTTTTTTGTATTTAAATAGCGCATGAAAACACAGAAGAAATAATGTATTAATAATATTCAGAAAATAACATTTTTTAGTAATATGGTTTGGCAACAATTTGCATGTAGTTGATGCTACATTTCATCGGTCAGTCAATTTATAGATCATAAAATACATTTTTTAAGACCTTTTTATGTAATATTGATTGAATTGATGATACATATTATGCAAACCGAATTTTTAACTATATGGATAATTGTAAGGGACTATAGGTTAAGTTAGGTTAGAAAAACGTCTTGACGTATAATACCTAGACTGCGCGCTGCAATGCGACAGAGAAAAAAGATGCGAGGAGTCCTTGCAGCTTTTTCTAATGGGCGGGGTTTATCGACAACGTGACTTTCCGACTACCAAACTTTGTAATTACATTATGTATTAAATAAAAATTGTAAATATTTCTAAAAATCTTCTTCGTGCAACTAGGATTACTCCTGTTTGTCTGCCTCTTATTCTTTTTTAGTCGTTGTTGACTGTACATGTACATTATCTTTTTACCTTTTTGGCGGTCTTCCAACGGGTCTTCTGCTATAAGGCTTGTTGTTTTTACAGATGTTCGCTAATCTATCTGGTCCCATTCGGTTTACATGTTCGTTCCAGTTTTTTTGTCTTGTTTTTATCCACCTATTAATATTTTGAATTTTGCATTGGTAGTGTATACTTCTGTTTGTTTGTCTCTTAATGATATGCCCGCTATTGATCTTAATACTTTTATTTCGATATTGTTGATTTGTTGTTTCTCTTGCCGCTTTTGATACTTTGCCTTGTGGTCTCTGTTCTTATATCCCTGTCACTGATGATCTCTACTCCTAGGTAATTGAATTTCATTACTTGTTCTACAATTTTGCCATATATTTCTAGTTTGCATCTACGCGGATCTTTACTGATCATTATACATTTAGTTTTTTCTACAGATATTCTCACATTAAGTTTATTTGCTGTGATATTGAAGGTGTAGAGCTGCCTTTGTAGGTCATCTTCGTTATCAGCAATTGGTACTGCATCATCGGCATAGCATAGTATCGTTATTTTATGCGGTCCCATGTGGTATCCGTATCGTTTTCTTACTTCATAAATTATTTGATTCATCACCATATTGAATAACAATGGGCTGAGCTAGTCTCTTTGGCGAATTCCTCCTTTTAGTTCTATGCATTCTGTTTCTCCCATGGACGTATAAACATAGATGGACACAGCAATAAGATACCTTTAACACACAATGTTTTGAAGCTTCTATAGAATGTGATGCTTCCGCAATGAGCATAAGCGTGCTAGAATTTTTACTCGCGGGTAATTATTCAGATTTTAAAAATTGGAAGTATGTAGTAATAATGTATTAAAACACGTTCAAAGAATTAAAAAAAAAACGAGAGTTTAACTATTAACAAATCACTTCTTTATAGAAAAATTAAAATACAATTTTATTTGCTTTAAAATTAATACAGTTAAATATAGTTGAATTCAAGTTAATTTTTTAATAGGTATCAAAATAATGCTACAATAAAAAATCTTTGTTTTCTCCTAAATTTGCTACCAAAATAGTTCGATCGTCAATATTATTTGGAAAACTACATAGAAAAATAATTGAGCTTTATTCATTTCACTAATTTATTTGTATCCATGAGAAATATTCAATTAAAAAGGTACTAAACAGATCTTTTTTAATCAGATGATGTCTACTTACAATTTAAAAATGTCTACTAATTTCGTGAACTCATATCTTATTCAATACATTAATGAACATGAATAAACCCAATGGTACGCCTATTAAAATGTAAACAAACACGCCTCCTTATTTCCTCATCTTAAATAATGTAAATTGTATGTACTTACAAATGAAATGACAGATCGGGATGTAAATATTTCGTTTGTTTTATTTCACTTTTCACAAATATCACTCAAAATACAGCCAAAATATCGAAAAACAACTTTTCCTCATCTACTGTAAAGAGTAAACAAACATGGAACAGCATTTGAAGTTTGACGTAGATCCATAAGACAGAGAAATGTAAACAACCGTTGCCATTTATAAATAGTTTTCAGTGCTTCTACATATAAAATAATTGATTGATATCTATTCTGCCGTGCTTTGCTTACAAGTGGTATCTGCCAGAATTATGAAACAGAAAAAGGGGTTTAAAGTTGTAAGCACATTCCAACCCCATGTAAATTTAAATTGTTTGATACTATGATGCATTTTATTTAGTAGTAGGTACTATGATGCATTTTATTTAGTAGTAGGTAGATTTGAACTTACTGAATAAAAAAAATAGTTATCTTTGGTTTTTATTTAAAAAATGGTAGATACCACTTTTAAGTCAAGAATTATTTATATTGTAAATAGTGGTAACGTACTGCCAGTGAAGATACCACTTTTAAGTTAAGAAAAATTATAATAATTGTTATATTCATAGATAGAAAGCAGGAGGAGAAAAAAATGTAAACGAGTACATATAAGTTGTTTATTCATGTTCACTAAAGAAAAAAAACATGTAGGTAACGTTAGTATACTACAGAAATAAATTTAAAAATAAAATTGAATAACTATTTTGCAAATAACCACAACGGATATTTTTTAATCTTCTACGTTGCTTAGCAAATCAGTGGCCTTGTTGTTAACTTGCAAATGTTCCCAAAATGTAAGCCTATTTGCTGGCATTAAGGAAGATAAGGTTTTCATAATATTGGCCTTTCTTTCTTCAGTGATACCTCTTGTTGGTTTATTCTTTTTGGTTAAAAGCCTTCCACTTTTCAAGTTCTCATTTTTCAAAAAATTTAGCTCAAGTTCTTCAACTTCGGTAAAATTTTTCTTGTAAGCCAAAGTTTTTTTTTCCTCTTATTGCTCGAATTTGCACAATTTCCTTTAAATAAATGCGCGGTTGTTGTTTCTTTAATTTATAAATTGAAGAATGATCATCCCACTCATAAAAATTTTCAGATGTAATAACTTTTACTTTGCTGGAATTAGCTTTTTGGACAACATCAACAAAATCTTTAAAATCATATATCTTTGGATTTTTTTTTCATAGAAGCTTCTACTTGGTGATGAAAATTGTCCGCAGACATAAACGTATGCCCCGGTTCAAAGTATTTAATAACAATCTCGTTAACAGAGACCTCTGGTGAGTTAACAATGTAAGTTAAGAAAGTAAATAACGTCGAATTTTTATTTTGGGATGAACAGTTGTCTACAGCTGCTAACAAAGTCGCAGTGGCCATGATGATTTCCAATCTCCGCTAGGAGTGGCACGAGAAGAAGAAGAAGTTGTCTACCCATAACACAACATGTTCATAATCTCTTATTTCTAAAAAGAAATTGTAATACATGGTCACCAAGTCTCCTTTTTGCCTTCCTGCGAGGCCTTCATGCCAAAGTAGGGCAATTGGTATAACTTTTTTTCTGTTTTGTGCCAATCAGAACAAAACTCTGATTGAATACTATGATTCTTCTACAAAATATCGCCTTTTTAAACATATCCAATCTGGGGAGCATGATAACTTTTTGAAGATCTCCCGAAAAATACACAGTTTTGTCATTTAAACACTCTTTGTCCAGCTGGTAGGCTGAACGAGCTTCATTTGCCTTGAAGATATGGTTTTGCCACAATAAACAAACTTCGCACTCTACACAAGGATTTTCTTTTGTATGTTCAGGATTATGTAGCAAAAACGTTTCACAGGCTTCACACTCTTCATGGCCGAGTTTTGTAAATGAAATATTCATTTCTTTACTTACTACCGTCCGATATATTTCGTAAGAACAAAGAAAATTGGGGTGTTTTTCTTTGAAATCTGAATACAAAAGCTGGATAGTTATATCACTCGGTAGGTATCGTTTATTTGGGGCGTGTTCGCGGCAACAATGAGATACAGCAGGATTAAACTTTTCAACATGAGCTCTTATCACATTTCTATCAATTTTAGGATGGTATGCTTACCTTGTTTACTAATACTGTGACAGATAATTTTTTCTGAGTTTCTAGAAAAGCAGTCTTGTAGTATTCGATCATTATTTTTACTGTACCCGAATGTCGATATAAAAAATTGTTTGCAAACTTGTACTTTTTCCCCAGAACTACACTTGAAGAAATATGTAAGTGACTTGTTCCTTCTAGACTCCGGACACCTATGACGTTTAACATCTGAAAATGTTACATAACTAGAAACAAAGTTTCTCTTCTCAGAAAATGTCATTTGCCAATATTGTTTATTTATATTTCTCTTTCATCATCTGTAAATATAAAAGTACATTTTTTTCGGCACCTTTCGCTGCAAGGAGGTTTTATTAAGTGTTTGGTTTTAATATCTTCAGATTTTTTTGCTTTCCTCACCGATAATGGTTCTTCGTATCGCTTTCGCTTTCTTTTTTCACCTTTCTTCGTATAGTCTGTTACCTCACTTTGTGTCCTAGTTGTTAGCTTCTTTTTTAAATCCACTATCATCATCACTTAACAGTGAATGCGATGAATTGTTGGTGTACTCGGGGTGTTTTACCGAATCGTCGAATTTCTGTTCATTCTCTGTTCGATGGAAATTTATTTTATAACTAGTAGATGGTTCGTTATTATTAATAACTAGTGGCTGCAGAGCGGTGTAAGTAGGTTTTTCACAAGAACTTATATTCATTTCAAAGTTGTTTTAGAATTATAAATTACTGAGTCAGTTTGTATGTCATGATGGTTGGCTGAGATGTTTGTTTGAAATAATTGATCTCCATCAGCAATACCAATGGCAGAAGTTTCATTATTGAGTGTCTGTGGATCATTAAAAACTACTGGCTTTCGTTGCTGTCTTGCGTCTGTAATGCGTTGTAACAAGGCTTTTCAGAAAAATTTGTAATCACCTCAAAGTTGTTTTCATATGAGAGAGAATTAAAATTTATTGAGCCAGCTTGTTCGTCTTGGTGACTAGAAGAGATGGTCGTTTGAGCTAATTGATCTCCATCAGCAATACCAATTAAAGGAGTTCCATTATTGATGGTACGCAACCCATTAAAAGATACTGGTTCGAATGATGTATTTTTAAACATTGTCTGGGTCTTGGGTTTTTAAAAATGTTTTCGGTCATAACCAACTGTTTTGGCCACTATGAAGAATATTACCTGAATATGTTATGTTCATCTTGTTGTTCATCTTGCTCATGGCAGATGAACATACCTTGTTCATCTGCCATGTTCGCTTTTTCCTCGATTTTGTCTTTTATGACTGCCGTTAACAATTTTAATGTACTATTCATCAGACTAATGCCTCTATAATTTCCAGGATTTCTCGAGTCTCCCTTTTTAACCATCGGTAGCAGGAGACTTTCCTTCCATTCCGCTGGTACTACTCCGGTATTTATTATATCGACGAATAATTTTAGGAGCCATTTGCGTAGTGTTGTTCCTCCATATTTTAGCAGTTTATTGTTTATCTTATCAGGACCAGGTGCTTTTCTGCTTTTTAATTTTTTTATTCGTTCTTGTAGCTCTTCTTCTGATATTAGTACTCTATCGTGAGTTTCGTTAATAATTCTTTCTCTGTTCTCTTCTGCTCCTTCTTCATATAATTTCGTGAAATGCTCAGTCCATTGTTACTCCGTAATGTTATCTATGCGTACAAATTCATTCATTTCTGTTTTTTGTCTCCTTTTGATCTTCCACACCTTATTCTGGGATCCATAGAGATCGTATTCCATATCTTTGGTAAATTTCTCCCAGTGTTCTTTTTTTCAGTTTTTCTGTTAGTCTGTTTCTATACAGTTTTGTGTCCTTTCTTTGGAAACGACATGGGCACTAGAGAAGAGTGAGGCTCTCTTCAGAATAAATGTGCTCATGCAAAGAAATCTAAATATGAAATAAGATGTCTACATACAGTGACTCACTGCTTATATGATGGAGTCGCTACTCATGTAGCTCTGTGTGCTCACACACAAGGATTATTTAACGTTCGCAATTCAACTCAGATATGTTGTAATGTAATTAACGTTAGTAATAAAGAATATACCACAGAACTATAAATCTAGCTTACCCAAAGCTTTCCTTACTCCCGCAACTTGTGCAATATCTCCAGGATGAACTCTTTTCGCCATTTCTGCCAAGTTATCAGTGATTGATTCTGCCACATTTACTTCTTCCTCGTTTGGAGGTAGACAGTTGTTCAGATTGGATGGGGGAGGAGCTGACAGACGTTGATATTGAGTGTTCTGCAGCTTCTCCAATAGCTGACACATGCCATCAAGGCGCCGTTGCATCTCGTAGCGGTCCTCAGCTACTCTGATTTCATCGTCCATGTTATCCAAGAATCCGACATCTATACCAAGATCTAAAAACAACAGAATATGTAAGATTATTCACTCAATACTATGGAAATATAACATACCATTCAAACTCTTTAATTCATCAACGCTAACTTTTACAGAATCGACAGGCTTTACTTCCAACATAGTCTTAACAGCTTGCTCTTCTTCCCGCAGGTTTTTGTTTTCTTCAATTGTCTTTTTGGTCCTGGAATGGTCACCGCCTGTGAGCAAATCCAATAGAGAGTCGACCAAATGAGTAGCATAGTCAGAGTCTTTCACAAAGTCCTGGACGCTTTCTGCATACTGAACGGACGTATCAGAACCGTATGTTTGATATACCAGATCACTTTCTTCTTTGCTATAACAAAAATTTTTATAAGGCGAGTACTATCATACGTACCGAAAACAAGAGCTAAAACATCGCTTACAAAAAGATTGACGAGAACTATAGAAATAAAATATTAAGAACCAAAAGAGGAATTTCTCTTAGACATATAATAAGAAATAGGGATACATTAAGAGAAACTGGTGTCCAGGATATAGTGAGATGGACACGAGCACGACGCTGCAAATGGAGAGATCATGTCGACATAACCGACCAAGGAAGAATCACGAAATGGGCAAAAACACAAACTCAATACAAAAAGGCCACTAGAAAGAGCCCCCAAAAAGGGAGACATCAAGATCACAAGAGCTGGGATGATAGAATAAACAGAACCAAGAAGATTATTTAAGGCTTTAAAGATATATGCTCCGTAAATATACTGTATTTCACCAATTTGCGTTTGTTTTGGATTATAGCTAGGCATTCGACAGCCAATGGTCCACTCTACTGTACAGCATAAGAAGGATAAAAGTAAATTGCTCTAGTAATGAAAATATAACACTAAGTAATTTCTAAATGTAATTAAAAAAATTCTTTTATAACTGGACATTTTACGAGGAAATGTTTGTTTGCCTAGCAGCTTTACGTTTTTGCTCAACATTAGTCCATGAACGGCCAGCTCTATCTAGTAGTATTTTACTGTCGAATATTAGTGCAAGTGGTGATTTGAAAGAAAATCATTCAAAACAAAAAATCCAATTAAATATAATGAAACTGATCGATTAATAAAAAAGAGAATAAAAGAAGCTAAGGAGAGAATGTTACATGAGCAGTGCCAAGAACTAGAAGAAATTGAGAAAAAATATGACTTTTTTAACATGCATAAAAGAATTAGAGAATTAACAGGAATGAGAAAAACACTTCAAACTAGGCAACTAAGAGATGAAAGGGGTGCACTTATAACAGATATAAACCAAAAAATGCAGAGATGGACACAATATATAGCACAACTATTTGAAGACAAAGAAAGAACAGAAGCACCAAAAGAATTTAAGGATGATACAGGGCCTGACATTATACGAGAAGAAATTGAATATGCAATGAAACAAGCTAAAGATGGTAAATCTCCCGGGCCTGATGAAGTTCCTATCGAATTACTTAAAATTTTGAATACTGAATCTATTGATCTTCTTTTGGATCTATTCAATACCATATATAGAACAGGTATAATACCTAAAGAATGGCTCCAATCAACATTCATACTGCTTCCCAAAAAAGCCAATGCAAAGGAGTGCAATGAACATCGCACCATAGCCTTAATGAGTCATGTCTTGAAATTGTTTTTAAAAGTAATTCACAATAGAATACATAAGAAATTAGATGAAGGCATAAGTAATACACAAATGGGATTTAGGAAAGGTCTGGGAACACGAGATGCACTGTTTGCAGTAAGTGTTCTTTCGCAGAGATGCTTAGATATTAATCAGGAAGTATATGCCTGTTGCATTGATTTTGAGAAGGCATTTGACAGAGTGCAGCATAATCGACTTAAAGAAATTTTATTAAATAAAAACATAGACAGTAGAGACATTAGAATCATCTGTAACCTCTATTGGAATCAAACAGCAAAAGTGAAAGTTGAAAACGAACTGACCAAGGATATCCAGATTCGCCGTGGGGTCCGCCAAGGGTGTATTTTATCACCCTTGTTATTCAATTTATACAGTGAAGCCATCTCAGAATTAGCTCTTGCCGAGATCAGTGAGGGCCTTATAATAAACGGTGAGCCACTTAATAACATAAGATATGCTGACGACACCGTCCTTTTGGCAGGAACACTAGAAGAACTGCAACACCTTGCTGAACAACTAAATATATATTGCAACGATTATGGACTAAAAATCAATTTGAAGAAAACCAAGTTCATGGTATTTACAAAAGCACAAAACATCAAAGTTAAGCTAGTACTAGATAATACAGAAATTGAACAAATATCTTCGTACAAATACCTTGGAGCATGGATCACAGAAGATACTGATCAGACAAAAGAAATAAGATGCCGCATTGAAATTGCGCGGTCAACTTTTAATAGAATGAGAAAACTTTTTTGTAATCGCGATATCAATATATCGCTCCGGATAAGAATGCTTCGATGTTATATTTTCTCTACCCTTTTGTATGGAGTTGAAGCTTGGACACTTAAAAAATCCAACATTAAAAACCTAGAAGCATTCGAAATGTGGTGTTACCGACGCATTTTGAAAATATCATGGATGGATCGCAAAACAAACGAACAAGTTCTCGAACAACTAGGAAAACAATGCGAAGTTTTAAATTCCATAAAGATCAGGAAATTGGAATACTTGGGGCACATCATGAGAGGTGAAAAGTACGAACTACTAAGGAATATAATGCAGGATAAAATCAAAGGTAGAAGAAGCGTAGGAAGACGTAAAATCTCGTGGCTACGCAATCTCTGTGAGTGGTTTGGATGCAGTTCAATTGAACTATTCAGGCGAGTAACCAATAAAATTATAATTGCCAGAATGATTTCCAATCTCCGATAGGAGTGGAACTTGAAGAAGAAGGTGGTTTAACTGGATTCTTCAAAACAAAATTACAGTTCCCCAAAAATAGCTGAAAGTCTGAAATTCTAACTGCTTGCGCGAACAATGAAGTGAGAACGTACTCGGAAGGAAAAAGACTGTACGCGCGGGTGAACTTTAAAATATAGGTACAATCGGAGACACAAATACAGAAACGTAAAGTTTGAATAGTTTCTAATAGGTCCCGTACAAAATTATTATTACTGTCATTGCTTTTCTTCAGTACCTATATTTCAGTATATTTGTGGTATTTGTTCTACGAAGTGAGATCTAAAAAAATAGATCCAACAAAAACCGCTTGTGTTACTATAAATTATGGCATTATAAACCAAAAGGTTTCGGAGAAAAAGGGCGTAAGCAGTAGGGTAATAAAGTAGTAATAAAATCGTCTAATGCAATACTAATAGAAATTAGATGTTCGGTTCCGGCGAAGCATAAATATGGTGTCTTTGTATCAGTACCTTTTGTTAATTAAAAGCCGCCTTTATCTTTGAATATTTACCCAAAGTATGAAAAAAGTGTAAGCTCTTAAAAAAATGAGATATTTAGTATTATATAATTAAGTTATATAAAATATTAAAAATAAGAATGCAAAATATTAGTAATGTGATTATTAATGACCGTGTAGGGGAACTATAATTAAGGCGGAAAATAAAAAATTCTTTCGTTTCGACTGCTACGATCGTCCGCGGAGAATAAATAAAAGTAACATTATTTCTAAAAATTATTAAAAGTTTATAATACCTAACAGTTTCTGAAGAAATGCAACATGAGTGTCTCAGGTTCATATTTCTGAATCATCTGACTCAGAATCAGAGTCCATCTCGTCATTTTAAGAATCACTGTCACTATCGACACCTACATTTATGATTATTTGATCCACCACGATGTCAAAAGCTGGCTGTTGTGCCATATAACTTTGTTCTATTTTTTTAACATGTTCACACATCTTTTTCCATTGTTCGAATGAAAACGAATTAAAAAATTCATCACACAACTTTCCACTAATTTAACTGTAAAACTGAATGTCCTTTATCCTCGAGTAATTTGTCAATTTCATACGTTTTAAAGCGAGGTTTGTGTAATTTTATAATGTCGCATAGTTCAAATTTCAACATGTTATCTGAAAACGAAATATTTCGAGTTGTCAGCCACTGCTGAATTTTTGCTTTTCTGGAAGACATAGTAGTCTGGTCTGGAAGACCTTGTAGTCCACATGCTTTTCGATTTTTTAGATTTTGTATTGCATCTTCGACTTCCTGTACTGTTAGTTCATCGTCTTCATCGTATTTCACTTCATATGTTCTTGTAATGGTGTTCGTGAATTGCGGTCTTGTTTCAGTCAGAAGTTGTGAGTAATGTTCGATCCAAGATCTCTCTTTTATTAAATCTATTCTACTCACTTCTTTTCTGTTAGTTCTCAGGTTTTTACCGTTTTCCATGCTTCTCTTGATGTTGTTGAACCTATATATTTATTGAGCTCTTCGCATTTAATTTTCCAGGAAACATTTTTTGCTTTAGTTACTAGATTTTTTACTTCTCTGTTTGATCTTGCATAGGTTCATCTATTATCTGGGTCATTTGTTTGCACTGCGTCACTTCTGATATTTCATTTGTCCATCACAATGGAGTATCCTTTTTGTTCCTTTGGATCGTACCGAGTACTTCATAAGCTGCTTCATTGAATTTATTTATTATCTCTTGGTAGGTATTCTGTGCTGAAGAATAGATCAGGTTTGTTAATTTTTGGCTAAGCAATAACTTACTATAAAAATGATGTTGAGTCGTTTTGCAGTGCACCAATATTGTAATTGGGTGGATTCATTTCCAGTGGTTTTGATTGTGTTGGTTTCTTGTCATTTCGATTTAGTGGTTGCGGTCAATACTGTAGGTAACATTTTGATCTTACCATATCCCCTTCACTCCTTTCGTAAACATGTGTGTACTAATTCAGTTAAATTTATATCGTGGAAATAGTGAAGTTTGGTAAATCAATCATAGATGGCAGCAGTAGTAACATCATGGAGAATCATAGAAAAATGGTTTCATACCGTGACTTAAATAAACCTGATAAGTACTGTTCTTATAACATCATTTTAAATTGTAAATAGTATTTGGTCTTCTATTACTCCGTGTTGTCGGAGTTCCCAAATGTCTAGAAAATTTGCAGTATCAGAATTTTGGAGACATTTATAAAGAAATGTGTACACATTTGTGTAATCGAGTACCCGTCACTGTTTCTACTATTAATTATTATGGTTACATATGTGTACACTAGTTCCCAGCCCTAGTAGTACTATTGATTATTATGGCTACCTACAGGGTGAATGTTTGTGTTGGAAACCTTAAAATATCTCAATTAAGTACCATATATGCAAAAAACGTGAAGACAGATCTATTTTTATTTTGGATAACTGCAACTATGACGACGCAAAGGTACTTACTCAATGGAGATATTTTAAAGTTCCAACCCAAACAATTACATTGTATGTGTACGCTAGTTCGTAGTTAGTAGTAAATATTAATCAGCATCTAAAACGCGTTATTTTTTTACAGACAGAAAAAAAACCTTTAAGCCAAGAAAAATTTTTGGCTCTGCTTGATGAAAGTGACGTAGACGACTTTGATGACTCTATAGCAGACAAAAATTATATACATGTTATGAGTGATTTAAGTGATCTGGAATCAGGCTGTGATGCTGGAGAGAATGAAGAGACAACTCAAAATTTTCAACAGGAGAATGAAGAGACAACTCAAAATTTTCAACAGGAGAATGCTCTTAACGGGGATAAAAATTTAAGTGATTCAGAATCAAATGTAGATGAAAAGGAGATTATACCGACAGAAAGTATTTATGACAAACAGCAAGCTGGAGATGTAATTCAAAGTGCACACACAGATGAAGTTGAGACGGAGGGTGAAAACTCAGCAGAAAATGGAACTGTTAATGCTGCAAAAAAAAAATAATAACGCGGAAGCTCCTATAACAATGATTTTTTTGAGTTAGTTTTTTAGCTACACAAACTAATATTAATTTTCACCAAGTTCGTGGAAAAGTACTAAACACAACTGCTTCTGAGATTCGAAATTTTGTAGGAATTACTTTAATTATGAGTACATTAAAGTATCCAAGAAAAAAATATGTATTGGGCTACCTATTACCGTGTTCCTTTAATAGCGGATTGTATGACAAGGGACAGATATTTTTTAACGCGAAACACAATTCACTTTGTCAACAATAATTCAATTTCTGAAAATGACAAGAAAGAAAATAGATAATGGAAAGTAATGCCCGTAATCCAACGATTTTATCAAGCAGTTTAAAGTCTACCAAGATAAAAACATGTTTGTATAGATGAGCAAATTATTCCTTTAGCTGGTCATGTTGGAATTAGGCACTATGTATCTAGAAAACCCAATCCAACTGAACTTAAACTCTATATGTCATTATCTCCAAAGGAACTCATTTTAGATTCGTTCATTTATCAAGGAGTTGATACAAATTTCCGATTGATCCTAATTCTAAATTAGGTACAGGAGGTCGAGCTGTCTTAAAATTAATAGAAACATGCCCAGCAGATACAAATGTTTACTTTGACAAGTATTTTAATGGAGTTGCACTCTTATAAATTCTTCGTGAAAAAGTGATTTCTGCAACAGAAACAATAATGACAAATCGATTTCCAAAAATCGGATGCCAAAATGAAAAAGATGAGAAGACGGTGTATAGATTCAAGAACTAAAGAGGACGGCAAAATATGCATTGTCAAATGGATGGATAACAGATCTGTACTACTGACATCAACAATACACAGTGATCGACCTTTGGATGAGGCGAAAATATATTCTAAAGGCGATAAAGCTTACATTTATATTCAAAGACCTAATATTGTTAAAAACTACAATACCAATATGGGATGCGTTTACTTGGTAAATCGGATGATATCAACCTATCATTCCTATCACAGGACAAAAAAATGGCAGTATTCATCAGGTTTGACCTCGAGAAGTTATAGACTTATTGGATTTTAAAACAGAAATCGCACAACAACTGATTTTAAATAATAAGACTAAAATAACTTATTCTGATGAGGATGATGATGGGCCTACTGCAAAAAAGAAATGCTGTGGTAGACATGGATTTTTTGCTATTCCTCTTCAACAAATGCGACATAATGAAGCTAAACATTTACCCGTAGCAGAATATCTGACAACTACCCAGAGATGCCAAAAAGAAGGTTGTAAGGGTAGATCTAGAATAAAGTGCACCAAAGATAATGTATATTTGTGTATCCTTAAAGATAGAAATTGTTTTAAAGACTTTCATTATTCAAAATAAAAAAATATTTTAATTTGTTTTTATAACTTTCATTAACTGTTTGGTCCCTGTATACACATATGTGTACAAATTAGTTGAGAGAATATTCTACGTACAATACTAGAGTGTACATTTGTGTACAAATTGATAACGGCCACTGTTATCAATTAGAGCTTTGTTAACACAATCATAGTCTTATTTAGGCCTAAAATACTACGCAAAATAATAAATTATTATTAAATAACACATTCTGCAATGTCGGGATTGAAGAAGATATAGTGGTCACTTCCGCACTCTGGTGCTTTTAAACACTCTTACGTCTTCGACTTGTATGTTTGTTTATTGTTTTGTGATAAGATAATCTATAATAGACTTCGTCTTTCAGTGCTGTTCACAGAATTGGATTAAATCTTTCCTATTTTAATTTATTTTTGCATCTCCGTATTTACCCACGACTTTGTCATTTGTTTTTTGCCTGTTCAAGCATTAAGATCTCCCAACAGTACAATTTCTTTGCGGCTATTAATGAGTTCTGATAAGGTTTCGTATAATATTTGTTTATCTGTTTTTGATGCACTTTCTGATGGCGCATATATTCCAATGATCTCGAGATCTTACCAGCTTTTCAGGTTTCCTTTTAAGTCTGTTTTATCAATATTGATACCCCTCTCTTGTCTTTCGCTAGTTCACTATAAATATGAATAACACCTCCTATATCAGGTGTCACCAATTGTATTCCCTGAGGGTCCGTTTCGAAAACCTACTACACTTCTAAAGAAGGCAGTCGCGTAACCAGGGGGGTTTACCATCCAGTAGTTGTAACCGCCTCAAGAGATCATCCTGATTTAGGGAGGGATATGAAATAAACTCAAGGAAAAAGATGATTATAAAGCTATTATATTGTTTTTTCATTCTCCCGTCTTTATTTAATACATGTTTGCGGCGTAATGCGTCTGCTGCTTCGCTGGTCTATACACCATTAGGCTTGAGTGCAAAAAAGTGTTGCTTAACAGTTGCATAACATTTTCAATTTTGTGGAATTCTATGTGGAATAAGAACTATGTAACATCGATATCTTTTTTACTATCATGTCTGAAGATATCTGCCAAAAATGTAATAGTTGCAATGTTTTCTGTGTCCAAGAGGAAGCCCAAATGGTCATTTGCAGCTTTTCAGCATCAAGAGCTACAGCAGCATTAATAGTGGACAGAAATTCTTTTATGTTTAGTATTACGAGTATTTCTATATTCCGAAGTGGAAATTGAAACGTCAATAAACGTACTTTCCCCTTTAATTGTGGCTTATTCCTATTTAAATAGTAATTTATTTGTATATATTTTCTATTCTATATATATATTTAGATTTGATTATAATTTTACACTATAATTTTATTACTATATTTTGAATTTAAAGGCGATTCGCAAAAAACAAGTTCACCGTCCGGATGCAGACCGCGGTCCGCCATTTGGTGAACCCTGTCCTATATCTTCGCTACCTTGGCCTTTTTTCTTTGTTTCGGTAAGAACTGTGATACCTGATTTTATTTTATTTACTTCTGCTATGACTTTATCTGACTTGGTTGCTACGTGGTCTTCGTTTTTTCCCGTCTGCGTTCCGAGGCTGGATTTTAGAGTATTTTGCAGTGGGTTTTTTTACATGTGAAGAGGAGCAGGCCTTACGCCCCATCCCTCTACCAGGAGGAACAGGATTTTCTGTTAGAGTTTACTCTCTTAGTCAAAAGAGCATGTAGTATAAGAAAATATAGTGACCCGTCTACCCTCGGAAACCTAACAGCCATTCAGGGTCGGAAGAAACAAGAGTTAGCCAAGAAAGGGTGATAGGAAAGAATAAAGTCATTTCACTTAAGACAAGTTGAAAAATGGTGAAATGTGAGGCCCCTAATGATCCGCCAGGTGCTTTTCATAAGCGTATGAGTATTAGTAGGTACACTTTGTATTCCCGCTCATACATCAGTTTTACAATGTAGACACCCCAACTCCATGGCCTGAACTAAATTACAAATCTAACTCGTCATTGCATTACATCATATTTCTAGTGCTACGGCACTAAGCCGTATAGTTAGCAAATAAAAGGCTATTGCATTGATTCGTTTATGTGGATTGACCAACCGACAGATCCCGGAGCGCATAAAGTTTATAAACAGCGAAAACACTAGAATATCATCAATGAGCGATAGATGGTTATGATTTCTACCATACCGCCTTTGATAATGTCCGCCACAGTTTCAGACGAAATGCCGGGAAGAAACAATTCCAGATCACTCCATATAAATAACAAAAACAATGTATAATAACAATTTAAATTTTAAGAATTACCCAATTTGACATATTATATTTAAAACATCTTTACCTGAGATTTGAAAATGCAGAATCATAACTAGGAGCATACGAACCAAATGCTCCATAATACAGAGGCTTAATTGGCTTGGCAACATTCCTACGATCTTCTCTGAATCCTTGTAACTGGCTCGTTCCCTCAGAGAGCTTCCCACACAACTGTCCTAGAAGAATTGGTCTTTTCTTTGTGCCAGGTATCACACCGTCGCCTCCTACTAATATATTTAAGTGGGTGGTTCCGTCTTTCTTTTGTTTCAAGAAGCCCATAGTTGGATTACCTCTTTTCATCACTAAAAATGTTTTTTAATCAAATTTTTAATCAATCACTTGGCTTATCAATCTCATTAAAAAAAATAAGAGTGAAGAATTAATTACTTAAAAACATGAAAGAGTTAATGGAACTCTGTTAAAATTTGATACAATAAACTATATTATATGGTTTAAATACCACCAATATATGAAGGGATATATCCTTCATTGTGTCTTTACTATCAAATTATATGTGACGAGCTAATAATAGTAAAATGTGCATAATAGAATGGCAGGTTGACGAGATGTGAATATTTCTTTCCATATAATATTTAAACTACACTACCGTTTCAAAATTGTAGACACTCAGTAGTTCTCATAAATTCAGTGTTGTTGTGTCATAGTATTCAGTGTTGATTTGGGTATTCCAGGGGCGAGCGAAAATTTGCTTAATAGAATGAAACAAAAACTCACATTAAATGGTCAGTGTAGAATATTCAAAATACTCCTGTTGCTGAAATTTTTTGGTAACAGAAAAATAATATATACAACCTGTATGGCTGACTCAGCCATAGAGTCTCAAGACATTTGAGAGTATGTACTCTCTATATAGTGATTTGGCTAAATACACAAAATCCTATGAATATTAAACAAATTGAATGCAAATCAGAGAATGTATCTCTTTAAAAATATTTAAACTAGATGGAGAAAATGCAGCTTAAAGATGACACAAAATATACTATTAGAAGGAAATTCTTTGTTTTCTCCATTCAAAATGAATTACTAACTTAAAAAAAAAGTCATACCCAAAATAGTTTCGATGATTTCATCACGAACCCTTATTTCGTTTGAGATTATCCGTTTATGGTAGAATCGACTCTCGCCAGTAGACCCGATGTATAGACGGACGAACATAGATATTATAATCTTTTCAATGTTGAAACTCGAAATTGCTTGTAGACAACATTATCTGGCAGGGTGATGTATCTGGTAGAACAGTTTTTACACTGTGATCTACTGAGACTCAGGCCTAAGTTTCAGGATTCGTCTTGTTGGTTATACAAGACTTTTTTTGTATGAGGAGAAAATCTTCATAAGACTGTCATGGCAGACCACAGTACACCAAGAAACCTGGGTGCTGCTGTCCCAGGTGTGTGGAATTCAGTACACTCTCCTGATCTAGACACCCGTGAAGCCAAGCGAATCGACGTGAGAACGCGACTGCCTACCCACTAAAACCCCTCATTTCCACCAGCGAGCACTTGGTACATGTATGGATAACTTAAAAGAGGATGAACCAGGAAAACCTTTTTTTAAAAGCTGCAAAACAACTGGAGAAAACCAATAATATGTCTAAGCCGTTTCATTCAGCAAACACTGCTTTCTTTTTGCCAAACAAAATAAATAAAAAAATTTCATATTTTTATCACTAGCTGCTCTGTATATGGTAAAGGGTAAAAGTAAGATAAAATTTGAAAATATTTTATCCAAATATAATACATATCACTTGTCTTCTACATGGTATAAACAGAGTAACAGAAGTTCTTAAAAATGAATTGAATTTAGACATGCGCAAATCTATAAAAAAATTATCAGGTGTATAGTGTATTAAATTTCAATCTAAATTTATATTGTCCAATAAAAACATGGTATAAAGCACACAAAACAAATAAGGCTACATGGGTAACAAATGAGGTAAGACACTCTAGTGAAAAACTAAACAATCTACACTGGATAGCAAAAAATATAGGGAGTCTCGAGTCTCAAGATACTTATAAACAGGCAAAAAAGAATACAATTCTCTATATGAAAAAACTTTCATAGTGACTTAATTAATCAATCTTATAATATATGTAGGCAAAATAACAGGTCTGACATTATTCTATATTATGATAATACAATTATTACCAAGTCTTGTGATATTGCTAATTCATTTGCTCATATTTTGCTACAATTACAGAATACAATCTTTAAACTCATTTTGGCACATTGTTGCCTTCTTCTTGTACTACCTCAAAAATGTGTAACAAAACATTTTTCTTTTTACCTGTAACTCCAATTGAAATAAAATATACAATCGATCAACTAAAAAATAAGCCTAGTACTGGTATTGATAACATATCTGTAAAAATAATAAAACTGATAAGTGATCATATATCAATTCCTTTAACCCATATAGTTAATCTCTGAATAACAACCAGCCAATTTCCATCCATATTTAAAATGGCAAAAGTTATTCCAATCTTCAAAAAGAATGACCTTCATAATATTTCAAATTATAGACCAGTATCTGTCCTTAGCATAATTTCCAAAGTAATAGAAAAGGTTATATACAACAGAATGTTAAATTTTATAGAAGAATACAATTTATTAACTCCAAACCAACACAGCCGTATCGATCCTTGAGTGTGTCCAAAGCGATCCGGAAATTTTCTTCTACAACTTCAATGTTTTCAATTAAGTGTACACCTACATTGGAACCGTATTTCTCCCGATCTGATATCTGGCGACGTCAGATTAAAAACAAACTCAATTTATTAAATATTATACGGTTCCAATGTAGGTGTACACTAAGTGCAAAGGTTCATTTTTTAAGAAAGATTTAAGATATATAAATTTGTGCACATTATTCAGCTCCACATAATTAATTACTAGCGTTTCAAATAGCTGATAAAACGCGTTCCATTCAGTGAAGTTTCCAGAAAATACCTGCATTGTAATTTCCGGCAACCTAACCTTAGCAGTGGTTAGAGTCCACAGAGTATCGTTTGAGCTGAGCGAGTGGGAGGGTAACTTTAATGCTTCCATCTTATGCTGCAGTCCAGCTGGTATTTTTTCTCCATGAGTGCTCTGTCTTCTGTTTCAGAATCGATTTCTTCAATCTGATCCATCACCTCTTCATACTACAGATAACATGATTTCAATTAGGTGTGTCTGAGTTGAAAATGGAGACTGTCAGTTTCTGCATCTGCATTTTCTAGCAGCCAGTTTACTATTCTATTGGCTTAATAGGGGTTGTACTTAGAGAAAAATAGAGCGTAATTAAACCAATCTACACATTTAATAACGAGAGAATATTTACACAAGCACTAATACTAACGAAAGAGTTCGCTTTAAACATTGTCCATTATTATATTGGCGTTTTAGGGGCGCGCAAACTATTGATAAAACAAATACACATTTCACTGCATTTTGGAGGCGAAGAGAGGGCTTAGGTTAGGACGCTTAGTCGCTTAGGTACCTGCTAGTACCGCACAGCTTGAGACACTGAACACATCTGCTAGATATTTTGGCTTGAATCTTTATCTAAAAGTGCCGACAAGATGGCATCAGTATGGCACAAATATTCTGCAGGCAAAAAATAGAGTCTGTAGCATAAGATCCAAGCCAATATTTGTGAAAACGAAAAATTACACTAAAATTAATATAAAATGTTTTTACAACAACTTGCAAAAAGGTTATTTTATATATTTTATGTTTTGTCAATGTTGTTACACTGTGAATATTGTATTATACACATTAATGTTTTTTATACTGAATCCTGTAGTGACATCCTATACATTTATTTTGAATGTCTTAAAAAGGATCAATAAAGTATGACTATGTATGCTTGCTTCCAGAAGCCATATTTACAAGATGGGGAACACAGATTAAAGCAGCAATTTTCAATGCAAATCATTTTGATGATGCCATAAAATATGTTGTGTTGGATATTCAAAATAACTCACAGTGTGTAGGTAACTGAAAGTCAAGAACTTTTAAGCAACATATAAACATTATTCAACACACAAAATAAAACTGGATATTATTCAACTTCCTGAGATATGTTGCTCATAAATTGTATACTTATTGCAACTATTCAGATATAGAATCACAACTAAATCACTTGGCTTGAAAGCCTTAGGAAAAGAAAAGATCTGACATTGCTATTTAACATTATGAACAGTAGATGTAATTGTCCTGAACTGCTCCCTAAAATTAATCTGTCGGCACCATCTCTTATAACTCAAAAATTACAAACATTTCATGAGTCTCTTCGCAGGTACAAAATTATGCCTATAATATTTTCCTACCGAGAATGTTAAAGCTAGCGAACAAACTACCAAATTTACATATTTTTGTTTTGCTTCATACTATAATGCTTTAGATTCTTAACTATAATATCAGTTTTTGTGTAATTTTATTTTTTTTAGGTGACCTACATCCTTTAAAAAATTGCTATAACATACTTATATACATTTACTGTCCTAATATAAAAATAACTTACATAGTTTTGCCTTAGCAGTTCTTGCTGCAATCTGTGCTTTTGACAAAATCTCTTCAGGTGTCAACTCATCAGTTATGGGCTCAAATTTAGACACTGGCATCTTTCTCTTAACTTCATGTGCATGATCACTGTCATCATAATCGTCTTGATGCTTAACAGCTCTTAGTTCTGCTGTTATTTCAAATCCTACATCTTCACTAGTTATTTCAGGCACCAAGTTTAACATCCATCCTAGTTTCTCGGGAACCATGATCTTCAAACCAGCTTGGAGTAGTTTTTTGCTAGCTTTGTAGTAGACTGTGTCTACATGGTTGTATTTCATTGCATTGGTACACATCAGCTTGAAGTCCTCAATAAATTGCTACAATAGAAACATACATTTTGTAAATATATCTGTATTTGATGCCTAAAGATGTTTTTAAAAAAATATATATAAATTATATTATAGGTATACTCACATCTAAATGTGCATACTGATTTTCTTCAATTTTCTGTCTCATAGTACTAAAATCCATAGGATTACTTATTATTGTCGAATAACCTGGTGCAATGTTATCAGTAACTGGCCAGGCAAAGAAGTTCTGAGGATCCTTCTTCTCCAACTGACTTAATAAATGATCCAAACCTTTTGAAAGTGGTGTTCTCTCCTGAAGTTTTTTGATGACACAAGTCCTTAGTTCACGGCCTGGACTTCCAATTTGTGGATAAATAGTAATATCCTCTACAATAATAAGAAAATAGTGTATTAATACTGTTATAATACTAGAATATTTTATACTACATATACACTGATGTAGACCTAATAACACGTCTTACCATTTTCTTCGTTTTCTTCCCTTTTTCTCTTCTTATCCTTGTGGTGATGTTTATGCCTCTTTTCCCTATCCTTGTTCTTATCTTTCTTCTTTTTCTTTTTCTTTGATTTTTTATGATGAGCTCTCGCCAAACCAAAATATGGATCATTAGGATCAATCTGCATTTGTTCTTCTAATCCCTCTCCAACTAACGGTAAACCAGTCCCAAATTCTGGGTTATGTTCAGGAGTCGTTTGTGAACCAACTTTAAGTATCAATTTGAGACCCGGTTTGTCTTCTTTTTCTCTTTTCTCACTCTTATGTTTTTTGTGTTTTTTCTGTGGGGGCGTGGGGGACATTACCGGAGAGGACATGATTGAGCTTAGATCAATATTTTTTTACAAGCTAAAGCTACCCCGCTTCACTTTTATTATTGTTTTTTTATTAGTGAGGTTATGTTGAACTAAGAAATTGACAACACAACGTAATCAAGGCATTTTTTGCGAATACAGATTTTTTTAAATAATCTGTAATTTGCTTATAATTTGAGTTAATGTCTGTTCTTTGTATTGTAACGTGTTTTTTTTGTTTAAATATTTGTACGATACTAGTTGTCATTATATTTTTATTTTTTTTTATATTTCCATATGTGGAATTGCGATATTATGTGATAATTTTTATATCGAATTATGTAAAAAATACACCATTGCATTGGTTTTTAATTATTTAAAAAATCTTAAATACATTGGATACAAAATAAAAATAAATTTTTTCATAGTTTAATCAGAGAACATACGAACACATGCGTTCGTAGTTCTCTGGTTAAAGGACTACGTTATATGCAACACATCTTACACTATTACCACAACAGGACAATCATTCCACAACACCATGTGGGATATGCTTTGACCAAGAATGTTTGAAATATGATGAAAATTGACCTTGTTTAAAATGTTTTAAGCCAATAAATATAAAGAATATGACAAATAGATGTAAGACAAGTTGGTGTAAAATAATACTAAAAGCATATTCACATTTTTCTGAATGAAAATCATGCGTAAATATACATTATGTCATGAGCGCGCCGAGGTGACCTTCACATGATGAAGCCGTGTATTTATATCCACTAGTGCGATTGTTTATCTCAGTTCTGAATTTAAATACTACCTTTTTGCATCCTTCTTCAAAACGTGTTAGATTTTTACGTTCAAGGCTCTTAGTTTAAATATTTCTTGTTTTATTTTCGAAAAAAAAAGTTGAGTGTAAACGTCAGGTAAGGGTCAATGTAACCTTTTTCTTTAAGATTTTGTTTTAGTATTCTGTTAATAAACAAAATAGTACTCTTTATTATCTTATAACCACTTTTTATAGTTATGATTTATGAAAGTTAAATATTCATATAATCAATGATATTTAAATCATTCTATAAATATCTTTTTTGGTTAAACCATTGCCGAATTAATACCTTGGTAGTTATCAAATGTTTTACATATTACGTAAATAATCGTTAAATAATCAGTTCTTTATCGTCTTACTGTTTTTTGTTTTCATAAATCTCCCCTTATCGCAATATAGCCATGACTTTTCTATCGCACATTAGAATTATGTACCTAAAACGAAAATAATAAAATACATTAAGTAACAAAATTTTAATTCATCCAGAAGATATCGAAGTTTTAATATAGTTTTCGGGCATTTCTCAATTGCGGGCACTCTAACCTAACCAAATATATTTTCCTCAAGGCACTGCGTCACAGTGTTGCCGTATTTATTTTAGTAAAATATGTATATGAATGCTACAAATATAAATTTACTTTTACGAAATAATAATTTGTGTTATGAGAAGCTACAAATTTTAAATAAGCATAAAACTTGCCGTATTTTTTTTGTAAAATGTATATGAAGGTTTAAAATATAAGTTACTTTTACGAAATTATAATTATAATGCATTTCTATTATATACGGTAATTTAATTATTACTATAAATTTTTTATATCATTTTAATCAGTTGTATTGTATATGCATTTGATTATTATCTTTAATTTAACTAAAATCTTTGAATTTTTATATAATTTCAATGTATTTCTATTATATACGGTAATTTAATTAGTACTATTAATTTTTTATATAATTTTAATTAATTTTATTGTATATGCATTTGATTATCATCTTTAATTTAACTAAAATCTATACTATTAATTTTTTATATATCACTTTAATCAACATTTGTATAATATTATGTGAGAGTATGAAAAAACTGGAGACTTGGCAACTCTGACACCATTTAAGCCAACGTTAAATGTCATATAAATGCTTGGTTAGGTTAGAGTGCCCGCAATTGCGAAATGCCCTAGTTTTCTATAGTATCCTTGTACTTGTAGTGACAATGTCAAGGGAAAGGGCAAACAGAAGATTCTACAGGGTAGAATCAACCACAAATTTATTGTCATGCTTGGACAGAGGTTTGACTGCTGAACAGGAAAACCGTTGGACCTTTGAAATAGCATGGGAAGCAGCCAACAAAGGTGGGTATTTTTATTTACTGTATTTATTTACATTATTGTTCTTAGACTTGTGCTACCCCCAGAGGGAGCATTTGCCTTTGTGTAGCAGAGAATTTCATTTATAATGATTTTTTTACTTTAATCAATTAATTTTTTCATTTACCACATTGTATTTGACAATTTATGGCACTAACAAATTATTTTAATCATTATTATTTTGTTTTTTAATATCACTTTTACTTTGGCCATTATTTTTTATTGCTCATATTAAAAATAATTTTTTTTAGTTCATTGCAATTCAGTTAACTTTTTGAGTTTACTTCTCTTGTTTACCAACAATGCTCAAATTGCAGATATCCTACTTACTTAGGCTATTGAGAGAGTTATTTGCATTGCAATTCCAGATATTGATTTTTGTTTAATATTGAATTCAATTTGCTGTGGAAATATATGTAAATTATTATTTGAGAAGAAATGTAATTTTACAATAGCCAATTCATCATTAAGTCTTTTTGCCCATTTTGAATGTAACAACTCCAAATCTTTGAATTTGTTAACAGTTGACTTAAATTTTTCCTGTTCTCTTTGGTATGTTTTCCCAAAATGAACTTGTTGGCCATGAAAAATTTGAAAAAATTTTTTTAGATGAGATAGAATCACAAAGAATTGTAATGAAAATTATAATTTTTATTTTCATTTGATGTTTCAGATTCTAATGTGAAAATCTTTAAAAAAAAATTTGAAATTTTAACCCGTAAATGTTTAGGTAATATAAATAAAAATGTAATTTTTATTGCAAGGATTTATCTAAAAAATATTCATGTTAACCATTCCACAAGACAATAGTTTCAGAACTATTATATTTTTTTAGAGTTTTTTGCTCATGCTGAAGACTAAAAGGTAATGAGTATATTTTTTCTGATGTTGATCTTTTTCAAATTATAATTTATTTAAAGGTAAAGAAAGCATAAAATGATTTTTATGTATATATTATATATATATATATATATATATATATATATATATATATATATATATATATTATATATATATATATATATATATATATGTATATATATATATATATATATATATATATATATATATATATATATAGTTTGAATTTAGTTCTTGAACCTTAATATATATTTTTTAGTGGATTCTCTTGGGCTTAGGTTCATAAAAAAAATTTAGTTTGATACTAAGACATTTTTATATATTTTTTTCCGACGTTTCGGCAGGAAATCCATGCCTTTTTCAAGAATATATATTGACGAGCATGTAAATATTAGGTATTAACAATTAGATGTCACAATTAAAATAATATTAAAACATAGGACATACCCACTAGGTCACTACAAGTAAAAATGGTGAGATTAATTGTGACATCTAATTGTTAATACCTAATATTATTTACATGCTTGTCAATATATATCCTTAAAAAAGGTATTTTTGCATTTTGCAATTTTTGCATTAAAGTCTCCTAAAATGTAAGTAATATCTCTATTACTATTTAAATCAATCATTACTATATTATTCGTAACTACTATTTAAATCATCTACTATTACATCACTAATGTTTGTATTTTGAGAACAATTTCCGAAGTGGAAATTGAAACGTCAATAAACATACTTTAACCTTTATTTGTGGCTTATTCTTATTTAAATAGTGATTAATTTAAAATGCCACAAGAAAATAGCTTCAGAACAATACTAATTTGATTATATTCGACTTTCAGTTTGAATGTTACAGTGTGTCCCTTGAATTCTGTCGCTTGGTCAGTGTAGGAATTGGAATGTTTGAGTTCCGTGCTTGATTTTTAGCATTATTATTCTTTCTGAGATTTGAATCACGCCTAGCACTGATTTTTTAATAGTGTTGCTTATGATAAAAGCTACTCCGTATCGATGATCAGTTTTGTGTCCTCCAGTGTAATAAATATTATGGTTATTTATTGATATCTCTCCATTTCCTGACCATTGTACATCGCCAACTCCAAGTATATCTATATTTAGCCTCTCTTTAATAACATTGTGTAGATTTCCAGGCTGATACATACTATCATCCGTTAATCTGGCAACATGTCCGGCCCAAGCCCATTTAGCCCTGGCTATTTTTTCAACTGCATCTGTGACTCCTATTCTTCTTCTTATTTGTAGGTTTGGTACTTTATCTCTGATGGTAATACCTAATATTGATCTTTCCATAGTGCGTTGTGTAACTCTTATTTTATCTATTGTTCTTTTTGTCAGAGTCAGTGTTTCTGCACCATATGTAAGAACCGGCAAAACGCACTGGTTAAAAACCTTTCTTTTTAAACAAACTGGGATACTAGACTTTGAAAATGTTATTCAATCTACCAAAGGCAGCCCATGTGAGACCTATCCTTCTTTGTATTTCAGTTGTCTGATTATCTCGGCCTATGCGAATCTCATGCCCCAGATATTTGTAATCTATTACTTGGTCAATGCTATGGCTCTCAATCAGAACTTTACCACTGACTACAAGGTTGATAATAAATTTTGTTTTTGAGGTGTAATTTTAAGACCAATTGTTTTTGATACTTTATAGAGGGTATGTAGCATTTTTGTAGCTTTATCAACTCTATCAGATATTAAAACGATGTCATTGGCAAATCTTAGGTGGTTCAGATCTTCACCATTTATATTAATTCCCATATCCTCTCGTTCCATTTGCTTGAACATATATTCAAGAACAGCTGTAAACAATTTAGGGGAGATAGTATCACCCTGTCTAATTCCACGTTCTATTCAAAACTTCTTGGTATCTTCATGAATGCTGACACAAGCTGTACCAGTTTCGTAAATACTTTTAATCAAGGCAATATATCGGTAGTCAATGCGGCAGTCAGCCAATGCTCGAAGCATTTTATGTAATAATATAAATGATAATAGTTTATTTAGTGCTAAAAATACATCTAAAGAAGAGTGAAATATACTATGGCCGACTAGAGATATAAAATAACGTTATAAACACCTTATTTTGCAATTACATAATGTTTTCTCTATTTCTAACTTTTTAGTTTATATTATTTAAGACCTACTATAATCTTTATGGTCAATGGTTATCTCTTTATTGATATTAGTTATCTTGAAAGTGTATTAGGAAGAGAATTACTTCAATTTTATTGATTTAATAATTTTTTTTTGTATAAATTTCATATACAAGGTGCCCCATTAAGAATGGGATAGACTAACTAAATATTATCTGGTTCAAAATTAGACAGATAAATAAAATATTCTTTGGTAATAATTTCAAATGATATACATAAAAGCATACCGGAATCATATGGCGGATATGAAAATTAATAATGATCCATCGACGGAACCAGTTGATGTCTTAAAAGTAATTCACCATGGTTGTATACGTTCGCTATAGAGCGTTCCACGTTAAGAAAATTTAAGAAAATAATATTACGCTTATGGAGATCAGTGCCAAAACTCTCAGGCATGTGTTGCAATTAGATTGTTGATATATGATTCATTCTAATCAGAACCGTATTCAGCACTGTGTAGTTGTAGTTAATTAATTTAACTAATAAAAGGATATGTATAGTTAAATACAAAATAATGCATTATAAATACCTGTTTCTTTAATTGACAGATATAGGTATGCGTTTATTATAGGTCTAATAAAAATAGTTAAATTTCATTATTGTATAACATTACATATTGATTAACCCTTTAAATAAAATATAACTAACAAAAAACGGAAAAATCGACGGAAAAAGATTAATTGGTAGGAAGAAATACTCATGGCTCCGAAACCTTCGTCAATGGACTGGCTTATCAGCAGATGAATTATTACATGCCGCGCAAGATCGAGAACGATATCGGCAAATCGTCATGGAAGTTACCCACGCCTAAAACTTGGACACGGTTCTCAAAGAAGAAGAAGGATTACTGGTACATGTAACTCTTGTGATCGTATGGGTACTGGGTAGGACGAAGTAGATACGATTATTGTTGAAAACCTGTTGAAGAAGTAAGCGTTAGAATGTGAATAAAGTATATTAATTGTATGTAATTGTGTAACTGATGATTAATGTTTTTAACAAAATTATTCTTCGGTTTCATTTGTTTTTAAACGTTCAAAATAACAACTTTTTTTCCTTGTTAAATTCCTAGAATTTACAAAACCCTCCGTTGTTTGTTTTCTAAGTAACTGATTATTATCTTTTTAAATGCAATTTATTTGCACTCATTTGAATAGTTATCTGGAAATGAAAGTGAGATGTTTATTTAATTTAAACAATTTACTAAGGCTCTCGGAAGCAAATAAATTCTTTCATTGTTAATCCTTTAGTTACAGCTCTGTAGAGCTGCAACCTCATTAGAGGAACACGTGATAGAAAATGCTAACTTTTTTTTTTATTGAGTTAATGCCTCGACAACTAATGGTCATTGGCATGGTACAGTCAGGTACCTACTGTGTAGAGGAGGTGAAGTGTGTGTGTGTAGAGTAATTGTCTTGATACTTAGCAAAGTCGACGTCATTGTCTTTGCTAAGAGACGCTAATTGTATCCGAACGTCTGCGGTCCCTCCGGTGAGTACCGATCGCACAAGGATAGAAATTATTTTCATTCATTAATATTTTAATAAACGAAAATTTCTCCACCCTGGTGAGATTCGAACTCACGACCTTTAGGTTTAAAGGTAGGCGCTCTTACCACTGAGCCACAGAGGGGGTATAACTTAAAATTAAAGGGATATTTTCCAAAAATTTTATGGACGGAAGGAGGACTTGCTCCAGGGGCTTTAAATTTTTATGTGTATTCATTTGTGAGTTGGAAAATTCCTGATGAATGATGTTTGTAATAACAATATCAACTAATTAAATTTAAAATAATTTATAAAAATTGACAGTTATTATTAATATGCCATATTTGAGTTGAATTATTATATTTGAAGTTGAAGGTGACGGAACTTTATAATAAATCAAAGCCTATAGTCTAAAATCCCATTGCAAGATTACTACGTTCATAAATTAGTTAATCAA